ACGGGTTCGTGCCCCGGTCAGGGAGGGTCCCACATGCCGCGGAGTGGCTGGGCCCGTGAGCCGTGGCCGCTGAGCCTGCGAGTCCGGAGCCTGTGCTCCGCGGCGGGAGGGGCCACAGCAGTGAGAGGCCCGCGTACCGCAAAAAACAAAAAAACACAACTGAGCACAACCAAGATTTCCTTCAGTTGGTGACAGGATAAACTTGGCACATCATTAAAAGGAATATTATCCAGCTATGAAAAGAAATGAGCTAATAAGCCATGAAAAGACATGGAGGAAACTTAAATGCCTATTGCTAAGTGAAAGAAGCCAGCGTGACAAAGCTTCATATTGTATGCTTCCATAGGAATATGACATTTGGAAAATGCAAATCTGTAATGATGGTAAGCAGATCAGTATGTTGCCAGGAGTTCTGTGGGTGGCAGAGGAGAGCTGGTTGAATAGGCAAAACATAGGAATTTTCAGGACAGTGTAACTAATTTTGTACGATACAGCAGTGGTGAATACAAGATGTTCAGCATCTGTCAAAATCCACAGACTTTTATAGCACAAAGAATAAGTCTTAATGTATACCAATTTTAATAAATCATTTAGGAGTTTGGGGGAATCCCAGAAAGGAATGCAGAAACTGAGAAAAGAATTTAAATGTATTACAAATCCCAGTTGCGGGACATTCTGCAGAATGTCTGACCAATAATCTGCAAAACTGTCAAGGTCATCGAAAACAAGAGTCTGAGAGACTGTGAAAACCAAGAGAAGCCTAAGGAGACACGACCATTAAATGTGATGTGGTATCACTGATGAGATCCTAGAACAGGAAAAGGAAATTAGAACACAGTTAAGAAAGATAAAAGACAAACCAAGAACTGGGAGAAAATATGTGCAATACACATTTCTGATAAAGAACTTCTATCTAAAATAATACAAATAACTCTTAAAACTCAGCAACAACAAACAAGAACTAAATTTAAAAACTGGGCAGGGGTACATTAAAACTCTCTGTGCTATATTTGCAATAACTCTATAAATCTAAAACTGTTCTAAAATAAAAGTTTATTTTTAAAGAATTCTTAATAGTTTCATATCCACTTAAAAAACAATCCAAATATAAGGTTTCATTTCATGTTAGAATAAACAGGTTGGGACAAAGCAAGCAAGTTCATTTATGTTGCATTATTCCCAAAGAATGAATGATAGGCTCCTGCTTGTTTTATTTTTCCCTAAAGCCAAGGGATATGTGTGTGTTTGGGGGTGGGGAGAGGACAGTGGAGGAGATAACATATAACATTTTTTAAATTTTATTATGCTGTTTTTTCACTTTTTAAATTTCTAAAGCCAGAATGTATTCTACAATAAATGGGAAGATTTAATATGGTAGAGTTTTTGTTTAGTTTGCTTTGTTTTTCTTTCTGAAAAGCAGTTACTAAATCAGTTGTGTATCTTACAATCCATGCTATTTTATAATTGAAGAAAGATGGTATATGAACTCCATACAAGTGTAAAGAAAAATAATGTCCTTACTAAAAGAATCTTTTGGTTCCTGTTTCAGTTCATATGACAGGCTAGCTTTTCCCCGAGGAGGAAGTTTCATGTGTTTATTTTTATACTCACAATGGTACTTTGTGAGTGCACAGGTCAAGGTTTGCTGAACACAGTTTTCCACTTTACCTTTAAATACTGTTTTACCTGCATGTGCCCAAGGCCGCCTAACTGTCACTAGCCAAGTTAAGAAATACTTCAAGCTGGTGGTAGCTTATACTTTTTGGTTTCATATCAATTCCGTAGATAATTGAGTGTGATAGTTGGATAATATCAATACTGAAACCTGTCCCAAACCTCAGCAAAAGTGCAAAATAGTTGAAATTTGCATTATTTGCTAGGCACACTCTCTTATACATGAAGATAACCATCCATTCTCTCCTTAAAGCTGTCCATGTGACTCCTTGAAGTGGGTAGTCTTCTACTCCCCTCAGGGAAAGATTTTAATCTTCAAATTTCCTCTCTGAGTTCTCTCATCTGTAGTTATTCTTTTAGAGACTCTTCCATACCTTCAGAACTTACAGATATGATCGTTGACAATGTACTAATACTAATGTATTAATACAGGGGTCAGCAAATTACTGCTATGGGCCAAACCAGCTTGCTGCTTGTTTTTGTAAATAAAGTTTTATTGGAATGCACCCACACTCATTTGTTTAACATTGTCTATGGTTGCTTTTGCTCTGCAGTGGCAAGCAAAGGTGAGTATTTGCAACAGAGACCACACAGCCCAAAAAGTCTATCTGGCCTCTTACAGAAAAAGTTTCCTGACTCATGTTTTAATCTATCATTTGTGTTGGGATATAGGAAAAGGGCCTTGTAGAAACAACCCATTAAGCAAAAGTTGTGATAATAATGTTGAGATAGAGTTTATGAAATGGAGAATTCTGAAAGTAAAGTCAGCCAGTATTTCGACAAGATACCTTACCCATATCATGCTATACTTAGGACTGAGATTGAGAAATATTGGTCAGATAGCAGCAAGATTCGGTGAATTTCATAAATGTTATTTTCTAAATAGTTCATGTGAATCCAGATAATGATCATTTAGTGGTGTACTTTTTTTCTTTCACTTTTTTTTCATTTTTAATGACATTTATTTGTTTTCTTTCTAATTTTACAAAAAATGCATGTTCATTGCAGACAACTAGAAATACATAAAAGCATAAAGTAAAAATTAACAATCATCCATTATCCCCACCCACCAGAGATAACTGTCATTAGTGTTTTGATGAATTTCCTCCTAGTATTTACGTATTTTTTTAATTGACGTATAATTGACCATGATATATCTAGTTACCATCTGTCACCATACAAAAGTATTACAATATAACTGACTCTATCCCCCGTGCTGTACATTTCATCCCTGTGACTTCTTTATTTTGTAACTGGAAGTTTGTACCTCTTAATTTCCAGCACCTATTTCACTTATCCCCCCAATCCCCTTTCCTCTGGCAACTACCTATTTGTTCTTTGCATCTATGAGTCTGTCCTGTTTTGTTGTGTTTGTTAATTTGTTTTGTTTTTCAGATTCAACATATAAGTGAAATCATATGGTATTTGTTTTTCTCTGTCTGACTTATCTCACTTAGCATAATACCCCCTAGGTCCATCCATGTTGTCACAAATGGCAAGATTTCATTCTTTTTTATGGCTGAGTAGTATTCCATTGTATATATACCACATCTTCTTTATTCATTCATCTATTGACAGGCACTTAGCTGAATATAATATCCACATAGTGTGTTGTGCTGTGTTGTGCTGAATGTTGAACTTTCAGAGAAACTCACAAATTGGAGCATGTCTAAAGGAAACCATCCAGAATGGTGAAGAGCTTGAAACTGTCACAAAAATAAAAGCAATAAGAAAGGGACTATTTAATCAGGTGTCTTCAAATGTTTGTAGGGATGACCTAAAGTTTTATCCTTGCCTGTAGCACTGATCTTTGGCTCAAGATTAAATAAACAGGGAGACGCAAGAGGGAAGAGATATGGGAACATATGTGTAACTGATTCACTTTGTTATAAAGCAGAAACTAACACACCATTGTAAAGCAATTATACCCCAGTAAAGATGTTAAAAAAAAAGATTAAATAAACAAGCAAACACACAAACAAAGGAATAAAGAAACAAACAAACCATTATAGTTGACTCAAAAGAGAATTAGCTGAATTAGGTGTACATTCATTATCATCAGGATGATAAAAGCAAGACAATGAACAGTCATTCAAGGGTTGGAAGTTAAACTAAGTTTTTCCTAAGATCCCTTCCCTAGAAAATTCTAAGATTCATAATTATTTAGATTTCAGATGCTGTGTTGTTGATGTGGTTTAAAGAAAATGCCTCACTACAAGCATCTTTTCCATAACATTCCCAATTCCTTCATAATCTAGCTCCTACCCACATATCTACCTTTGTCTTCTAGTATACAAGACTTGCATCTCACAAAACTGGGGACACTTGATCATTTCTTACCTACAAAAATAACAATTTCATAGTGTTAAATCTAATAATATAAATTTTCTCCAAGCATGATATAAGTTTTCTCCAAGCATGCTTTAAATACTCTAGCATCTAGGCCTATATGGTTCCATTTCTTCAACATGAGGTAATTCTCCAAGACATTCTCTCTTCACTTCTGCTCATCTAAAGACTACCTTTCTTTTAAAGTTCTGTTTACTCATTCATCCATGGAGACTTCTTTAGTGTTTCCAACAATCTGATTGTATCTACTTCTGCACAGCTTTAGGATTTTTCACCCAAGACAAATGATAGTATTCTATTTGGTTATTTGCCTTTTCCTATAAAAGCCCTTGTTCTTATGAGTGTCATAACCCAGCTTACACCTTGCTACTGTGTGCCTTCCCACACATTAGGGGATCAACATATAGCTGCTGATGATAAAGCCAAAAAGTCCCAACCACAACGCCTCTGAATCGAACTGATTCTGAATGAAACAATATAATGAGATAATTCCTCACAGATTCTCTGACCCATGACTCACTATGAAATGTGATTATTATACAGTTCTCATACTTTGCAGTTACCAGAGACAAAACTGGGTATTTGTAGGTACATGCATATTAGGAAGGCTTTTGGCAGTGCTGTTACTGAGGTTGTTTGTGCAGAATTATGAATTAAGTAGTTCTGCCAAGGCAGATCTAATATTCTTTTCTGTGCAGTGAAGTAAATCTTCAGTTTCTACATTCACTTCCTTTTTCATCCCTTTCTCTCTCCGAAATTTGTTTTGCAAGAACACTTTAATGCATTTATCTTTTTCCCTCAGCTTGTGAAATTAGTCATCCCTGGGATGCATAATTGAGAGGTGTCCTATTACACCCATGGGATTACAGGCTTTATGAATCACTCTGACATGAGAAAAATGTTTGTATAAGGAACACTAGATTTATGTGAAAAGGGTACAAAGACTTTTTAATAACCCTGGCTCTCGGTTTGGACAGGTCTACAAGGGAGAATTTCTATACATGCAGCCTGCAAATTACATATCGCTGGCAACATTTAAATGTGAAAATACCCTCATGCAGGTAGGTGCTTTTTAACTGAGAATTTACAGTGCACATTTTCATTGGTTTCTCCCCCTCAGAAACATAAGACTTTAACACGTTGGAAGGGAATGTTTTTAAACCTCAGATCAGTGCATGGCAGACCTTTAAAACTGGAATTACAGTTTCCGCAAGCATAGGGACATACGTGGTGTAGAAAAGAAATAATTTTCTTTAAAGAAAAACTAGTAGGATGAGCTGCCCAAGAGTGAATACGCAATGCTCTGCTCATCTTTCAGAATGCCACAGCAACTTTCTAAAACTTGGATGGTTAGCTATATTCTACCTGAAATCAGGGGTTTCGTTTTATTAGCCAGAAGTTCTAGAGTTCTAAATTCCTTATGGTCAAGCCATTGCGTATGTGTGTATTTGTCTCCGTGTGTGGTGTTTATAATTTAATTTACATTCACTAAAATTAGTTTTAGTTTATTAAGAAAAAAATTTGAGAACACTGGTGGCTCCTTGTTAGTCAGGAACCACTGGAATTTCACTAAATGATTTTTAGTCTAGTGAGGTGCTTTCTTAAATGAAATGGCCAATACTGGTGACTTGGAGTTTTGGACCTAAGAAAAGTGTGGTTTGTGGTTAAAAACCCTAAGACTTCTAGTTCTCTAAAAGGTCCTCTTTGGTGCTCCTTTTCTCTCCATCTTGCTTTTGAAGTGTTCTAACATATTTACTTTTCAAAAACTGCTTTCATGAAAATATCTGAAGCTCTTTCACATAAATGGAAATGACTCATTGAATAAAATATCTGAGCTGCAATGGGGATTTGAATCCAATCAAATCCAACTCCTTTATAATTCTAGAGAAACAAGACATAGTCCAAAGAAGTTGTATGCAACCAAATTATTGAATATCTAGACTCATGAAAAGTATGTCATTCCTTCTCACCACCGCCCTTTTAACTCTGTTCTATCAAATACTTCTTCCCTGTTCTGGGATAAAACCTTAGGTTGAAAGTATTGCTTTTCCAGCTCCTATTAGATATTAATGAATAGTGTGAGTGAATAGTCTAATTTTTCAGCCATGAAAAAGCTTAATGTTTGTTTCTCACAGTTCTGGAGGCTGAGACGTCTAGGATCAGGGTGCCAGTCAATTTGGGTCCTGGATAGGGTACTCTTCCTGGCTTGCAGATCGGCACCTTCTTGTGTCTACACCTGGCAGAGAGAAAAAAAGAGAGAGACTGGTCTCTCTCTTCCTCTTCTTGTTAGATCCCCAATCCAAATGAATTAAACCCCACTCTTATGACCTCATTTAACCTTAATACCTCCTAAAAGCCCTGTCTTCAAATAAGCCCCATTGTCACTTTGGGGGTTACTGCTTCAACAGGTGAATTTGTGGGCACGGTGGGGATGGGAGGCATAATGCAGTTCATATCAATTCCAAAGCTTCACTCTTTTGTCTAATTCATAACGAAAGTTTTGGGAAGGGATCAGCTTTGCTCAGGTCTATTTGATTATTCTTCCTGGCTTTTGCATTCCTCTCCCATCACAAAGCTGTTCCTTTTATCTGGGGGAGGGGGTACAGATAGAAAAAAAAAAAAAGAAGGGGAAGTGGTATCATGTAGTTCTCTCTTAGCTGTCCATGCATGTGGGCAGATCTTCAAAAGTTAGTAATTTTTAGGGTGTATTTGAGGGTTCTTCAAAGACACCTGCCATTATCAAGAGATCCCGCTGCAGACTCCATGTGGCATGTCTTCTCTAGTTGACTATGACACCTTCCTCAGTCCCTGCTTCCAGATGTCCCATAGAGGCTCTCCCTGCTGTGTCCCTTGCCCCTCTAATGACCTTCTTATTCCCGCTACCTTTTCAGATAACTCAAATCCAACTTTCTCTGTGTGTCCTCAGAAATATCTACCTAGCTTGTGAGAAAGAAACAATAATCCTGTTCCAAGCACTTAAGAAACTCCAATTTATTTTATTATCACACAACTTCTTTGAATTATTTCCACAGAACCACAGAAAAATTAGTTACACAACAATGAACACTCAGTAAGTGGTAGAGGTGAGATTTGAACTAAAGCAGAAGCACTTCAGTCAGAACATACATGCTTAACCATCCTACCACGCTGAGGGAGCAACCAGGGGTGTTTCTTTCCCTCTAAGTCTGTCCTCACTCTGTCATCTGAGGCAGCTCTAGTCTCAGTTACCTTTCCAGGCATAAGTCAGAAAACCCAACCCAAGGAGCAGGTGCTAGGCTCTGCAAGGATTCCCTAGGAGCCTGCCTCACCAGATTTGTGTGAAAAGTACCACCTGCTCTCCCTTGTGAGGAAGAGGAGAAAACCAGGATCATAATATCTCTGAAGAAATTCTCCTTGATGAACTCTCATAGGGTCCACATAGTTTTGCTGGGCTAAAGATCAAGGAAGAAATTTGGGAACCCCTCATTTGTAAATCCTATTCAGATGGCCTAGAACCCCCCATTAGAACATCAGGGTCCTTGGTACCTGACACTTTCAGCTTTGAGGTCTCAGCTGAAACTGTCAAGAGAGGAAACATCTCATTTTAACATTCTATTTAGCAAATTGCTCAGTATCATACAAACAGCTATTGCAAAGCCAGAAAGTTGTCACCTGTCTCGAAACAAATTAAGTTATTAAATCTTTTTTATTAGAAAACATTTTTTTTCAGGGATCAAACCTAAAGGGTAAAATGGCAATGTATGTGGGTATATTCCTGTGGGGTGTTTATGTGTATGTGTTTAATGTCTGCTATCCTTTCTCCCTTTTTCTAATAACAGCAACCTGATTTTCTTCTAAGGAACTTCTCTGCCCATACCTTGGGCTATGTAATTCAGGCAAGGTGTTCCCAGCTCCCAAAGTTCTAGGGATGGATATGTGAACTCAGTCCAGCCAATCATCAAATTCTATTTCTCTGACAGCAATAACTGGCTGAGGGATTTACAAGTGACGTGATTTAGTTCAGTGAGAACTTCCTTAGACTTATTCTGGAATTTTTGGAAAACAAGTGCTTTATTTATTCTGGGCTTACTAAACTGGTTGAATCTAATTGGTAGTCAATTTTACCACCAATGGAGATGACCTACCTAAGTAAGAAGCCAAAGCATAGAAAACAGTCCAAAAAGAGAAACAGAATCATGTTGGTGTTATCAGAAACACTAGATCCAGTCATGTCAGATGCAAAGGACCTGAAATTTTCAATTGTATTGAATTAATACGTTTGTGTATCAATCGACTCGCAACTAAAAGATCATAATCAAGTATTGTTTTCAGCATTAGTGAAAGATAAACAGTTTTCACAGGGGCTATCATTAAGTGTTGATTGATCTTCCTGACCCTCCTGAAATCACATTTCACATGCAGTTGATTTCCCTATGCCTATGCCCCAGGCACCATCAATGCCCTATCTACATCTCTTTGGTAATCTCATTTGTTCAGAACGATTGGCTTCCACCTTCAAGGACCCAAGACTCTGCTTGAGGGTTTCAGGCCACGGAAGATTTTTCTGCTCATTTGTTGATAGGTCAGGATTTCTGGGCAGTTTATGCCTCCTGGGAGCAGTCTCCAACAAATGACTGTCAGAAGGTAGTAGATAAATACCCTAGTTCCCTCACAACTTACCTGAGATGACACACAGCCTACCACACAGAGGTCCCTAGCTAGATTGAGCCGCTATACTCACAGAGGTAGCCTGCTCAATAATAAACTATTGTTATTGGCTTCCTTTTTTATCCTAATTCACCAGTTGCCACTTCCATATTGGTTTCTTGAGATCACCTCCCAAATAAACTACGTGCACTCAGGGTCTATTTGGGGGAAATTCAATCAGAGACACTTTGCCTTGGCTATATGTCCTCCAACACACATACATGTGTAGTGGTGATTGTTCATACTATCACTGTACATAGACAGACATCACTACCCTTGGGTTTCAAAAGCACCTCAAGTACCACTTCACCCCTGATCTATCTCACTGGGGCAAGTGAAAGGCAGAGAGGATCTCTTTAGTTGTATCCTTTTCACTTTTGAGGCTTTTAACCACTCTATACATAGGAGGACCTTATCCCAAGACAACATCTTGTCCTGTCTCCCATAATTGCCCTAACCTAGACAGACACTAAGACAGAGGAGTGAGACAGGTAGCCCTCTTAGAGAAAGGAATCACAGACTTATCCTGAATCTCTGAAAATCAGAGACTCTTCCTTCCTACCTAAAGGATATGGGACAAGAAGAGATTTTCCATAAAATTAATCATGCATTCTGGGATCATGTTTTTTAATTCTCCAGTTCTTTTTTTTTTATTGAGATATAATTGACATGTAGCACTGTGTAAGTTGAAGATGTACAACGTGTGGATTTGATACATTTATATATTGTAATATGATTACCACCATAGCATTATTTAACACATCTTTCACATCGCATAGTCATCATTTCCTTTTTGTAGTGAGAACAATTAAGATGTAGTCTCTTAGCCACTTTGAAATTTGTAATACAGTATGGTTGACTATAATCACTATGCTGTGCATTAGATCTCCAGGACTTATTCATCTACTAATTGCAAGTTTGTACCCTTTAGATTTTTCAGGCTTTATCCCACTATTCAATTACCAGAAAGCAAGTTACCTAGGTCCTGACTAGATGCTATGATCAATTACATTCTAGGACAATTTTGAAAGTAAAATAAAAAAAAAAGCAAGTGTGATATCCTAAGTAAACAACAAATCTCTCTTAAAACTTTGTCTAATATGACTGGTTTCATGGTGGGCCTCTGCTGATATTCATAGGTCATGTCCCATGCTAACATTCCTGCCCAGTCCCTGATGTTCTGCTATTTAGATGTCTTGCTGGCTCCCAGGGCCAAAGCTTGTAGCTGTTGAACTCACGGTGCATTTTTTGGCTACGATGAGGCATGCTATCTCTCTACCTTCTTGATTGAGTTTCCTCACAGTTCCTGATGGATATAGAACAGTATGCCATCTCTCCATCTTAAACATAGTCTCCTACTTGGCAACCCACCAATCACCTGTGCTCTCAACTCACTGTCCACACTACATGGGACATCAGAGAGGCTCTGAAGTGACCCTAGAAATTCTGTGTCTGACCATGTCACTCTGTCCTCCTAAATGAACCAGGCTGCCCCATGGTGGTGCGGATATCTCACACAGCAATCTCCTCCTTGGTACACAGCTACGAAGAAGGGGAGTAGGGCAAGAATACACTGCCCTTGGTATTACCATCATTTACCAAGCATACTGCCTTTCTCTGGGTCAAAGCTGGAAGAGGAGAGTCTGGATATAGCATCTGACCTCTTGGAAACATTAATATATTTTCCATTTTTACCTTTCTAAATACATGAACTAATAATCTTGGCACTAATAGACCTAAAGTATCCATCTGCTGAAGGAAGATTAGAATTTATTACAAAAGGAAACCATTTATTACATTGAGAATAAAAGGAAGAAGGAGATATTCTGCTTCTGATATGCAAATCAGATAATGCAGTAAGAAAAGTGCCTTGTAAGCCAGGACATTGTCTTGAAAAATGATCTCCTAAACTTTTTTCATCTGTTTTCTTCACACTTCTGCATTTCAGTAACCAAGCCTGAAGGATCAGAGTTTCCATTCAGTGTAGAGAAAATACCCCTGTCTATTAAGATTTGAGAGGAGGTCAGAGACACAAAAGAGGATGAGACAGAGGGGAAAGCTCCCAGCTGATGGCAAAAGAAGGGGAGGTGGGAAGATAACAGAAGAGGAGAGAGAAGAGATACTGATTGACTAGAGGGCAAGACTGTCAGACATGTTCTCAAGACTTTTTCAGGTCTTGAGCTTTGATCATCCATACCAACCCATGACCTTGCCAGGCAGAAGGGGACCCTGAGATTCAGCTGTTCTCATCACCTTTGGTTTCTGTGTGGCATAGAAGGACTTGGACGTGATTGAGAATGTGGTATGGAGTTTAGCAGTTGGGATAGCTTGGACAGAGACAGACGGCTTTAAAGAAAGAGCTACAGAACAGACCACCAGATGGAGCCCAAGTGAGCATCACAACTTGACAGCAAAGGGGTCTATCGTACCATCAGGGACTGAGGTGAGGCTGGGCCCCAATTTCTTTATCCCACCCACTGGACTTTTTTTCCAAGCTCTCAGAAAGAACACCCCACCCCAGCTGCAGGTTGGTACAAATTGCTAAGTGAACAAGCATCAACGAGGTAGAAGGAGAACACTGCCACAGACACAGGGGTGGAGGACATGAGGTGGGGTGGGGGCAGAGGTAGCTGTGTCCAAAGATAGCAATGCTTCCCTCTCTCATCCCTCACCCCAGAAACTCAGTCACTACTTTGGAATAAAAGCAAAGCAGAAGAGGTGACTCAAACTGAGCTTTTCTTTTTTTTCCAGAAAAACTGAATATTCATTTACCTAAAGGAATTATATACATTATCTAATTGGGTTAAGTTTTAAATTGGATTGGGTATTTAGTAATTTCTTTTCCCCGTCTCTGGTGGATGAGGGTTATCTTTGCCCATATGAGTTATAGCAAGAATTCAATTTTTGAATCCTATTACATTAGGATTCTCTCTCATATATATTAGACTCAAAATCCCATCCAGTCACTTGCTCCTCCATTTCAACAGCCTAGATAAAGAAATAAAACAGGACATATGCTTCAATAAGTCTAGTTTGGGCTGTTTTTTAGGAATAACGAAATCTGCTGCTTGATGAGCTGAACCAAGCAATGGGGAAATCTTCACAGTTAAACATTTAGCCTGAGGCCCACAAGGCCAAGTTCTTCTTGCTTCTTTTTGTCCTGACAGCCTCCTGTTCCCTTACCCTATTGATATCTTTAAGTAGTGGGCTATATAAACCTTTATAAGACACATAGCACAGTCCAATCCCTGTGTTAGAGGAAAGAAAAGAGAGGTACGCATATAGGTCTAATTATATCATATATCCTATTTATCCTTCCTATTAAAGACTCAAGTCAGTTTTGTCCCCCCAAGTCCTTATAAGGAGTGAGGGCATGGCCTGTACACTAGGTAGCAGTGGCTCCACTCCCTTCCTCTCCTTTCTGCTTTTTCTTTAGGACATAACCAAGAGTCCTCCCTGAAGAATTCGGTTGCTAGAGCAGTGTGGCAACACGATCCTCTGCTCACTACCTAAGAATATTTGCAGGCAAGGTGCATACAAGTTGAGTCCTACGTGTGATTTTACTTCAGTCGTGAAAGACTCCATGAAGCAAACTTTGTGCACACTTTTTTCCACGCTTCTCAACTGGGGTATGAGTTTTTGCATGTGTGGGAGTGAGCCAGCAAGGGTGAGAAATCACCAACTAACATTTTCCCAAAGAATCAATTATACTTAAAGACTTGAATAAAAATCATTATTGAATTCACATGAATTTATGCTGAAGCAGCACTTCCAAGTAATTTCAGACTTGAAGTGGGCAACTTCAAGCTAAAGTCCCTAGCCATCCCGCACTCTCTCCCACCCCCTCCCACCGCCCTCCATTCCTCAGAGACACAGGCTGTGCCCATCCCCTGCCAAACGTCCTCATTTCATAGAGATTAGAAGCTTTGGATCTCTTGGAATAGGCCCAGACTCAAGAGTGGACATATTTAGGAGTGGAGTTGCTCCCGGGAAATTTTCGGCCACTATAGTCCAACAGTGAAGCTAAGTCAGAATTGGGGGCAGCATATTATGGTATATACATTCAAGACAATCCGACATGCAGGTTCTTGATACAAATTCTCAGAGGCAGACTTCTTGAATATTTAGATATAAATTATCCATATTCAGTGAGCCAAGCAATACCAATTAGGTTTTAAAAGAAAGAAGATTAGAAATTGTACTTATACACACTGTGTTATTATTTGGGCCTGACTCGTGTGTGTGTGTGTGTGTGTGTGTGTGTGTCCATTTTCTACTCCAGAGTGGAGTTTGTTCTGCAAGCTACCGGCTTGGTTAAAAAGCTTTGGAAACATGAATGCAGCTCCAGTCATAACATTTAGACCTTCATTTCAATCCCATAATAGTTAGCTTAAGTAATGTCTAAATATTTCTTTAAGCCACAATATCCTATTTTCAGCAATGGACTCTAAATCATAATACACTGTATTTGACTATATTCTGACTTGGAATAAGACCCTGTGTGGAATGGTTGTGAGCGCCTTTGAGATTTGTTAACTACACCAAGGTATAAAGTACGACTGGCAAAGGAAATATGTTTGAATCCTTGTTCTGATGGAATAATTTAGAAAAAAAAATGTTATCCGTATGCTCTGCATCTGATCTGGTTCTGTCTTCATATCTGCTTCACACTGAGCAGAAGCACCTTTGTGCCTATTAAAAGGCCAAGAGCTGTCTTTGAATTTACAATGATGTGCAATTAAGGAGAAGTTATTTCAGTTATCAAAAAAATACAGTAACTCAACTGGTCATAGTTAAGAAAGTGTATAAATTCCAAAGACATTCAAAACATCTGGCTTTGGATACTTCTCCCTTCCCATAATTGATGTGTTAGCTGTTCATGGGTGAAAGTACATACAGCGCATCTTAGTAACATCTGTTTCAAGTTAGGGTTAATTGATTTCCATTTGTTTGTGTGTGTGTGTGTGTGTGTGTGTGTCTCTCCCCCTTTTTTTTTTCCCCCGAAATATATTAGAAGATACAGATCAGGGAGAAAAAAAAAGTGTATTTGCAGACAAGATTTTCCATTTCTATGCATGCTTTAAAAGAGAAACATACAATAAATAAGAAACTTTCTGGAATTTTTCACTGTACCATTACTCAATTGTGAAAATTTTCTCTGAAATCCTAACTGAGACTTAGTGAGTGATTAGTATGTTCTAGTCACTCTGTTAAGTACTTTACACTCATTATCTTTATTAATCACAACAACAACAACCTCATAGGGTCAGCTTTTCTCATAGACGTGATTTTTGAATGTGAAAATAACTTGCCTAAGGGCAAAACTCTAGCCAAAAGAACAGCCAGGATTCTCACATAAGTGGTTGAAAGTGGTTGATACCAAAGCCTTCCTTGTATAATTGTACTAATGAATTATAAAATGCCATAGGGACCAAGCTATGGCCTTGATAGTGCTGTGTGCGGCGTCTTATACGAGGTACTTACAGATTTAGAGAAAACTTACAAAACTAGCTGCCACAGTCCAAAGGCCGTCTCACAATATTTGACAACTTACTGGGACTGAATTTTTATTCCGGTAGTCTACGTGACTTTTCACAAGCCTCTAAAGCTCTCAGAATCTGGGTGTCCTAAGGTAGATTGGTTATACCTGGCTGACGTATCCAGTAGGATCGTTACAAAGGTCCAGGGAGTTAATCTGTATTGAAATGTTTTGCATACTCTGAAGGATAATTTTGCAAAGTGTTAAGTCAAAAATTTGCTTTCCAGAAATGGTAACAGATGTTCTGAGTGGAAATGGCTCCCGGGCAAATTAGTTTGGGAAACTCTGCATACTGTGGTAAATATCCCCTGTGTAGAGGACATGTGTTGTCTTATTTAGAATCTCCGCCAATTCTTTTCTGGTCATGAGACCTATGCTATTGGGGCATTTCTCCTTCCTCCCAGTACATGGTGCTGGTGGAGTTGCTATTCACCCAGGGAAAACAGCAGGACACACAACCTTCATTTTTAGCCTCTGCAAGAATTGTGGCACAGCAAGGTCTAAGGATGTGAACCCAGAGCTGCTGGCAGCCATGCCCTGCATGGTAGAATCAACCTGCAGTATAGACAACACCATTCAACTGCCTTTTAAGCTACTTCAATTTGGAATTCTGCTTAATATACTGTTCATAGAAATTCACTATGAGAAATACTAGAAAATGCTAGCAGATTTCAATGAAACATGGTTTGAAAAACATATGAAATGGATTTCTCTTTATTAATTTAAGTCATAGTCACCAAGGAGCCATAAAAAATGCCACTTATATACTAATAAATTGTGAAACTAAATAGGAGAATTATTAGGCTGGAATTACTTGCAGCGATGTTGAAGAGAGAAACTAAGCATTAATAAAGAAATTGACAAAGTACTTTAGAATATTCCTTTTAATTTTGATATTCTGAGGACTTTTTCCCCAAAATGCTCTAGCCAAGAGTTCTTTTTTTTTTTTTTTTTTGGTATGCGGGCCTCTCACTGTTGTGGTTTCTCCCGTTGCGGAGCACAGGCTCCGGACGCGCAGGCTCAGCGGCCATGGCTCACGGGCCCAGCTGCTCCGCGGCATGTGGGATCTTCCCGGACCAGGGCACAAACCCGTGTCCCCTGCATCGGCAGGCGGACTCTCAACCGCTGCGCCACCAGGGAAGCCCAAGAGTTCTTTTTTTTGATTCTCATGGCAATATTCTCAGCAGATCATTGATATATGACTACCAACTGCATTTTCTGTATATTCAGGGCCTAATAAAATGGTCAGAACTGTGTAAATCCCCTAAAAATCTATAGTGTTGTTGGTACATTTTTTAGCCGTCACATCATGATGATTTTGTTGTCTCAATATGATAATGGATCAAAATGTTTCAGATTCACTTTATAATAATCTATTGGGCAAAAACAAAGAGAGAGAAAGGAAGTTTTCAAAATGTAAATGATGTTCTAAAGGTAAGGCCATAGCAGCTTAACTCTGTGACGATGTAATCTTAAATGTTAAAATATTTTCAAAAATGTAGATATTTGGAACTATGGAGCTTTAGCCTAAGCCTAACTTAGGCTTCATCTACTATCCTGAGTATCAAATTATAGACCTTAATTGGCTGAATCTGCACAGTCAGTAAAAAAATATTGAATTAAATGGCATCTTCTGGTGTGAAATCATAACCCCACTTTCAGGAGAAGCCATGAGTCTCCAAAAACCATGACATGTCTGTTAGCATGTTTTCAATAAGTAACAGAGCATGCTATTTAAAGTGGCTTAAAACATAAGACAACTTATTAACACACAAAGATTTTATCATTGACCCAGGATCTGTCCATCTTTTCTTTCTAATTCCTTAGCTTTGCCTTCAGGCTTATCTCTTCCACATAACTGCAAGTTGGCTACAGTAGCTGTAAATATTGCATTGTCACCCAGAAAGACTACAAAAGTCCATACATTTTCTTTTGGCCTCTTAGTAATGAAAATAACAATTTTCCTAGTTGCTTCCAACAGACCTTCCCTTGGCTTGAATTGCATCATGTGACCATTTCCATTCTATTACTGGAAAGATGAATAGTTGTCTTAAACTAACCAATATTTACCTTCCTGTGATAGAGAGAATGGTCTCCTGATATCTCAAAAAGAAAAAAAAAAGTCATGCTTCTGTGTGAGCATGGAAGGATTGAGGAGAGGGACAGCACTGTTTACCACAAGTCCCTTGAAAATAAAATTTTCTAGTACACAATTGAAAAAAGAAAAGAACAATTAAAAAGAAGAAAATATTGGGCTCCCCTGGTGGCGCAGTGGTTGAGAGTCCACCTGCCGATGCAGGGGACGCGGATTAGTGCCCCGGTCTGGGAGGATCCCACATGCCGCTGAGCGGCTGGGCCCGTGAGCCATGGCCGCTGAGGCTGCGCGTCCGGAGCCTGTGCTCTGCAACGGGAGAGGCCGCAACAGTGAGAGGCCTGCGTACCGCAAAAAAAAAAAAAAAAGAAGAAAATGTAAATTTAAAATAGTCTGAGGAAAATTAAAATAAAATAGATATTACTTTTAAAATTGTCAATAAATAAATAATAGTGCATTTTATATTGTGATTGGAAATTATGTTCAGAGAAAACTAGTGGAACCAAAAATCAAAAGGAAAAACTTACTTGAAAAAATAGCCTCCCACAACTAAATTAGGGCAAAAGAGAGCTATATAAATTATTACAATTTTGTTAACGTTCTTTTATCCTTCTCTATGAAATGTCTCCAATTGGCATCTAGACGAAATACTTAATCAGATTCACAGATTGAAGTTTTCTACTACAATTAACTTGACTGCTTTATAAGTAGATTTTTTAATATATGTGTACATATACTCTTTTTTAAGAACTGATACTGGTTCTGTAGAAGGAGAGAAGCAGAGCTCAACCTTGATTGCTATTGTTTACAAAAACATTCTCTACAAGATGGTTTTTATATACACCTGTGAAATAGTTATCTGTCTGTAAATGAATGTGTTGGCACTCTGCCCCACAGAATGTAACAAATTTGAAATGTAAGTGTAGAAATTAACCCTTCCTAATCCCTTTCATTAAATCAGATGTTTCTATCATCTGACAAAAAAATGTTTGATAGGGGCTCTAATTATGCTTCCCCATCCTCCCACTAGAGCCTATATTTGGGGGGCAGAAGTTAAAAACGAGTGCTTCCTTT